AACGACGGATGTTCAACAACCCACCATCAGTAGGGTGCTCCACACGATCGCCAAAAGCACACCGAAAATATAGACATGTAAATATCTGCCTATTGCACCCGCTTCGGTAGCTTTGAAAGCCTTTCAAAAAATCATTCTTATAAAAATGCTGGTCCAGCCCCGTTTAGATTACTTGTCCCAAGTTGCGTAAAGAAGTTCAACATCCACATAAGATGCAGTGGCTTGTCTAGTGCATTCAATCTTGTCGTCCCTAGACAGTAAGAGCAAAACCACACGTGTCTGCTTCCTCGACTACAGTAACTCTTTCTGTTGTGTTGACAGTAAATTGTGGTTATAATTCTAGCTTTCCAAGTTCCTTAGTATGTTTGCTAAAGGACTATTTCGCCAAACGTACTCAGGTCCCATGGTTTGGAGGCAAAAGATCCCCACCACGTACCACATCATGCTATGTTCTTCAAGGTATTTTGTCGCTATTCTTGTTCTCCACTTACTCTAAATCTACACCTGTCTCAGAATTAACCGTACTGTTAAAATATGCGAATTACGTTATAACTGACGAGAATCATCAAACCTCGGCCTCCTCAGCCAAACTGCGAAGTTGTTTAGACGAATTAGCGTAATGGTCAAACTCCCGCTGCTTGACACTAAACGCGCGCAAGTGTAATGACATTCTGTTTTCCATTCATAAAGCAGCCTGGTATCAAGCACTTATCACTGAATGCCCCATAGTTCAGACTAAAGGCAACATATTGAGCTCATGTACATCAGTGAATTATCTTGAAGTTACACTGCACCATGATTTGTCATGGTAAATAAACGTGAATCAAGTATTCACCAAAGTCAGGCGACCTTCTTTTTGCATCGCTCGATTGCGATCATCTTACGTACCATACAATTTGTTTCTGAAGTTTATCACTGCGTTCATTCTACGACACTGGACTTATTGTTCCCATGAGTTTGCCAAGCCTACCGTGTACAAACATTTCAGGCCACTTGACAGGTCACTGAAGCACTTTTCTCGCTGCAGTGGCATTCCAAAGCCAACTTTGGCTAAACCAGTTGTATCAACGCAGGAAAATTTATGTATTAAACTTTCTTCAAAAATACTCGCTGAGATTAGTCACTCTCACTTTATTGCATTTTTCAATTGTATATCTACCTCCTCAACCAGGCAAAATTATAGAACAATATATATCAGCACGAAAGCTTATGGTTCTTCAGTGATTCCATTTCTAGCCAGATTGCTATTTGACCCAAAAGCTGTTACTCAGGAACTGTCCAGTAAATTCTGGCGGTGATGTTATTTTTTATTAAGCCTTTTTGCTGTTTGTTCTATCTTTTTTGAACTGCTTCTTTATCACGTCGGTAGCATGAGTGTCAAAGCTGAAAATTCATCCGTCACAGGTGCATAAAAGCACATTCTAGACTTCACTATTTACTTGATCCATTATCGATGAATCACATAAGTAGTTGTAAATTTGCACGTCGTTGCCAGGTGTTTCAGCTTCGTAACCTAATTTCTAAACCATGCCATAAGTAGACGGTTGCGTCCAGATATTGAGTAACGTAGATCAGTTTCATTTTCCTGCCTTCTCAAAACTCACGGTATTTTCGGATCAGCAGGACAGATCGGCCTCTTGACAACCGCATTCGAAGATAATTGCTTGTAGTGCGCGTCTTTTGTCGTTCTCAGCAGCGTACCGAAACATCACTAATTGATAGACTTCTGGTAGGTTATTCAATTGTACCCATATTGTGTAGTCCACCAGCTTTGCTTACTATAATGTGCAGTTGTCGGGTGGCGAGTTATTACCATTTGTGGGGGTGTCCTTATCATAGTCGACGTTTGTCAACTGAGCATGGGATTCTGTTTGTTTCAAGGATGCTGCTTTTTCGCTGCCCACATATCGTGTGAGGCCCTCCGAGGATCGGAAACTGAGTGTAGGCGGCGATCAATGTCTAGTTTTGGTCAAAACAACATATTGTTTAGATGTCGTATTATGCTCCGCTGAGCAATTAGGAACTGATTTCTTTTCATCAATCAAGCTGATTGATCGTGTGATTTTACAGATTGATATTTGCTCAGGCTTAAATATTTCTGCATAGCTACCGACGAGCAGTCGAGCACCAACTGTCCCTTGTATGGTCGTTCTGACTAGTTTAGCCAATACGATCAGCTACCGCTACAACCATCGCAAGATAAGGAGTTCAATTTAACATCAGTGTGTGATATTTCTGGAAAGTGTTTTAACTGCGACTAAACAGATATCGCGGATGAGGAGTTAAGTCTCCGCGCAAATACAAAGGCAGTGTGTAGTTGTCTTTGTTAGTGGTTGAAAATACTTTGTCTTCTTTAACTGCCGATCTGCTGCAGGATTAGTAGGAGACAGTTTTAAATATATCCTGAACGACAAGAGTAATAATTATGCTTCGCTTACCACGTTTTACAATCTGCTCGCAATACGTAACACATAGCAAAATTAGTCGTATGCTGCGCGCTTTAGCTTCAGAAAGCTTTCAGTTTGGCTTGGGATTATTTGCACAGCATTAGGATTTGGACATCTCCTGTATTCTTTCTCTATGTATCAAAAGATTATGACTACTCTGCATTGTGTTTTGTACTGAGCCATCTCAACTTTTTATTAACGGATCAATTTTATCGCGCCTTTGTATATTATTTATTCGCAAGTTTCCTTTGATTGTATCGAACCACTCAACTACCTTAAGACTAATAACACCCATTTTATTATTAGGCATGTTTGAATACTCGAAACGGAGGTGCAGAGCGGATAAAGTGCTTAAGGAGAAATTTTAAAAACTCCGATGCTCCACTTGTAAGCCAGTAAAAGTTGAACAGAGGCATATCAAGTATAAGAAGTTCCTATTGCGTTCGTGAAAGTGTCTCGGGATCGGTGTTCCAAGATATCATACGGATTTTGTTCATCGTCACAGAGGAGGATTCCTTGAAATTGTCTGTTTCTGGCATTCTGAATGTTTGGAATCCGTAGGGAATCCCTTGGAATAATGTGTAGACAAAATCCTACACCCGTAGGCTACGCAATTAGTTCAACACAGTAAACTAGGTGGGCATATAACTCCAACTGCGTGATTTCGGTTTGTTAGCCAAGATACTAGCTGGATGTGTGCCAGAAGACCAACAACAGTTTAGTTAAGAACAGATGTTCGATAGACACAGCACTGTGTTTTGAGAAGTGTCTAGTTGCTATGAATACATGCGGGGTAGAAGCAGGTGGTGAAACAACCGAAGGCGCAAGTGTTTGTTACGGGCTGTGCAACAGGTAAATACAATAATGTCCACGGTATGGCCGAAACTGTAGACAGAATACACAGCAGTAGTTGAGTTTTCTACCAGTGTGAAATTCATATGAGGTTTCATCCAGCCCAATGACCGGTTCAGTGCAATGTTAAAAATAATTGATGTCTTGGTGGTAAAATGTTTCGCCATCTGTTTGTCGCCAGTTCATGCGTTATGGCTATTGAAGCAGTTGTAACATTTTTTGACTTGCGGTGCTTGTACAAAGGCCAAACTCCCAATCGGTAAGATGACAGACAAGGGATTAACATATCATCTATTTGACCGTGGAAGGTAACTACGCCAGGTCTACCACACATAAAGATCTGTCAGTTCCCATCGCGCATAACTCCAACATGCGAAAAACAAACGGGCATGGCACAGATATAAATGAACGCAGGTTACCCAACTGGCACTTACTAATTGTGTGTACCATAATCCGTAAAAAGTAAATCTTTCCACGTAAATCCCAGTTGAGTTACCGTGGGCAATGGGCAGAACCAATGACTTGATTTGAGATACCATTTATAAGAAATCAATAATTACGTTCGGAATAGTATACTGAAATCCACTGAAATCTAACTCAGTGGATTATGGTCCATATCACTATTCCAGCATAATATTTGTCTGAGCATAAAAACACAAGCAATCGTAAAATATGGCTTCCACATGCATCTGTTCTTATATGCTGGACATCCAAAAACCAAAGAAAGAAGAAAGAAACTATAAGGTCTTTCTGCTCTAGCACATACTACGCCATCATTAAGTTCACATGAAGTGTTAATGAACATGGTTTCAATTTTGGATGTTTGTGAGTAGGGTAAAGATTGTATAAAGTAGAAGTCACGATTAAAATTAACGCACAATAATGTGCCTCGACGGGGAATCGAACCCCGGTCCACGAATTTCCGGTCCGCTACACTACCATTGAGCTACCGAGGGCTGACGATTAGGTGCGCAAATTTTAACACATGACTTCTGCTTGGTGCGCGACGTATTGCCAATGGGCTCACAGTACCTGTCCTGGTGTTGCAGATTGATTTCATTTAAATGTTGTAACTTTGTGGCCCAAATAACTGCCTGGCTGTGTCCGTTATTCCTAACAGAGTATGTATTGAATAAATTAGACCATTGTCATATTCGCGCTTCATAGCTGATTAGTACTCCGTTCCCGTTAAAACGTATCAGCTGAGCCTTAAACACCCAATGGGAACTGCACCATAGCACCATAAGGCAGCAATTTTATAATCAATTGAGCACTCATAGACCATTCCATCTGGAAGATGAGCAATCTGTTGTTTCTAATACTTTATTGAAATAGCCCATCACAGGTGGTTGTGCAGCTTTTGTTCAACCGAACTCCAGTTCTCATCATTTTGCCAAGTAAATACAACTTCAACGAGTCACCCTTTTGATGAACTACTCCGAGAATATTCATTTGTTAACGGCAGCCAGTGTACCCGAGCTGAACCATTCACTCATTTGTAAAGCTGCAGCATAAAACCTGTAGGATGTGTAAACCACGCTAGTACTCATACACTCTAAAAACAAACCGGTAATTGATTATTCGTTTCCTGTATAGCCCAACCTTGTAATTTTCTTTGATATTAAATTTGACTACCCTTTATTGCGTATGCGGTTAGTTCATCGGTTCCGCCAGAAGGTTAAAGGAAGAACAACACAGACTACGTCAGTTTCACTTTAAAAGTAAATCTGGAAATGTACAATGTGAAATTTAACATTCTGAACAATTTGAAATCATAATCTGTTTTCCATGCAAAAATACGCTTCTGTACAAGGGGTTTTGTACCCTTCTTACAAATAATGCAGAAAATATGGAGACTGTGTATGAACATGGAACATAACCACAACTAATACACTCTGGAATGTTCATTTCCGAAAAACATGAGCATGCAGATTAGAAAAGCTTTCGCATTGCGTTTAGCAACGTGAGTTACTCAGCTCAACTCTCAGCTCTATCCTCTATATCCGTCAGTTCACTGGGAAAATTGGAAAACAGAAGCCAGGTTGCAATTGATTTTCAGTTCATAGTACTGTTTAAGGGATGAAAGGTCAACATGGCTCACCAACCACTTGGACATGGGGTCACAAACTGGCGCTACCCGTTACGAAGAATATGAAGTTGCGTCGTATCAGATCAGTCTTGAGGGTCTGATTCTTGAGAGTTCGATTATAACACTGTTGTTCGGGCCTCCAATTTTTGTATGACGGTGAAGTCGATCAGCTCGTCTCAGTTTTTCAGATAGGCTACCACTGCATCTACCCTTTGCAATATGAAACTTCAATACACGTTGCACCTGTTATGAGAACAAAATCTGAATGAAAATTTCAAGCAGTTTGTCACAAATATAAGCGCTATAAATATTTTGGTTAGTAGAAATGAATAACAGCATTAAAAATAAAACTTTGTTGGCTACAACAGTTTAAACAAGGCGATTCTATCTTTAACAGCATAGTCTTGAAACTGAAATCTCCCACAGCATGACGAGGAGAAGCGGTTCTGCACTATCAAAGCACTCTTGCTTGACAACACAGCAGTCCACTCATTACCAAGTATAATCTTAGCAAGTAATTCCAAGAGCGACGGTCCAACAGCCAGAAAGGTTCTTTTGCAGTGTGGGCAAATTGTTAAAGGGACCAAGCTAAAGCTATAGTACTATTGCCTCCGGAACAAAATACAGTGAGGAAAACCGACTACCTGAAAATGAGAGCACATCAGTTAGCATATTAGTTGTACCTACACGGAGATGTGAAGTAGTTTTGCATTTTCATATTAAACTAAATTTCGTACCCCTTGAGAACCAGAAAGTTTACTTGGTTGAATTGCCTTGTTGCATTTTGTGATTCCGATGTAGTGACACACGCTTACTACTCATCATGTAGCTTTCACCGGCAATCAGTTTGGATATGAATTATCGTCTGACTTTTATTATTAGGAAGTTCGTGAAAGGTGGCAGTCACCTCGATACGAATGACCTCAACCTGAAGCCACCAAATCAAGCCTAACAATTGAACAGCAAGCTACGACAGCTTGATGCTGGCGCACCACATTATTACCATGTTAAGCTAGATGTCGGGGATCAAACAGCACATATTGCATCCGAATTTCCTTAATAGAAAACTTATGAGCAACCCACTACCGATTAACAAACCGTTACGCGACAGTTAACACTCAGCATTGCTGATGCGTTATGTATGTTATACAGGACTTTGCAACATAGGGTGCAAAATTTATGTCTACATGCATTGTAGTAATCAGTCCAAACTCATCAAAGTTTCTACCTTATCATCCCCGGTGGAATGCTTCTTAAAGGTTTAGTGGTAGGATATCATTGAACAGTTTTGCGTCTCGGTGACCAAAGCGCCAGTATTGAAAATCTCCGGTTTGATAAAAGTTAATCCCTTCCTCAAGTGTTGGATGCAAAAGGTGTTGCCCTGAAATGTTTGTTTTCTCAAAAAATCTAGGCATCTTCAATGGTCAAAATTTAGACTAATTACGTGAATCTTTCTTATCACTGCTGATCTTTCTGAAATGCAGATGCAATCCCAAGGTGGGACTAAGGTATGCAGCAAGAACTAGCAACTGTGTTCTGTTACTGCTGTGAGCCACTAATATAGCACACTATTCAGCACAGAGTACAGCAAAACGGCAATGCCATAGGTTATATGTTAGGTAATTTCCAGAGAAGAAATACATAAAATCGGCTGAAATTGATAAATGAGCTTCATACCGGTCTGGTGAAGAGACTCTCAGTGAACGTTAAATAAGTTAATGGTGCACCATCTCTGTCATTGTTGAGCCCTATCGAGGAGAATACAAGTCCACAGCTGTCATTCCTCGAGAAAATTCATCAAGATAGGCAGCTAAACTCTGACCATTGTCACATGATTTATAATTAAAGTGCGAAGGTGCTTATTCTGTCGTTGGTAGCTGTAAACATAATAAATGGGGAGCATTTACTGCTCAGGAATTTGAGTACCGCATGCGTTCCAACATATGTCGTCTATTTTGACCGACAATGATGTGTTGCAGTCTACACTGAGGTGAAAGATTATTTTTGCTGTGGAGCCTAGCATTGGATAACAATTTACTTTAGTCTCACGAACAGTTTGCAAGAAGCAAGGCGTATGAGTCTACCACCGCCGAAGGGGTTTCAAGCGATGTCTTCAATAAGTGAGGCGACGGCTTTTTTATGGAGCAATATTATGATTATTCATATTGATATATTACTCCGTACTGTCACCACCAACATTGAATCCTAGTGTGGTATTCTACGTGGTGTGTATGGGGGACCATGGATTAAAGGACTAAGTTGATCATAAAAGCTATTTACTAGTCACAGAAAACATAAAGTTTATATCATTCAACACAATGCAAAGACTGTACAACAGTACTTGGAATTAATATCATACCTTAATTAAAATCCTGAGTACTTTCCAAGTGCTTTTCAGCTGTGTTTCTAGAGAATTCATTCTCTAGAATTTAACATATCCACAGTGAGTTGGAGCAGTGCAGGCTGCCTAAAACCGACTGGAACGTACTGAAGTAACATTCTTTGCTGAAGTGTCTCAAGCAATAGAAAAGCGCTGAGTTAATGATTTAAGTATGACAGAGGAATTTATTGAGAAATAGATGCAAATATCACATGATATCTGCAAATATTTTTAAGGTCCTTGGTTTATTTGGATGCCAGTCTAACAGAACCCAGCAAATCCATTACATCAGACTGACCCGAGAGGATGAATCAAAGCACAAACAGAATGCAACGGAGGCATTCAGTTCTAATCTGAAGCTACTTACCACGCATAACAACAAACTTTACAATGCACGGAGGTAAACCTATGCTCTAAAATGCAGCATGTAGGTAAGCGCAAAATGTAAAAGAATAGACTAACGATCTTTAGTAGCAGTTCAATTCTTCCTTCCAGGGTGCACCGATATCTGATAACATTCGCGCACAGACCAAGCCACTAGCAGCGCGTAACCACATCGGTTGTTCCAGCATTGTCCCGAGTGCACAAAAGTTGCTCACCGATTGGAAGCACGATACAGTAACCTCAATTTAAAGATGGGGAAATGACGCTGCACAAGCATACCACTGCACCTAGGTTTATAGAGGCTATAATTACAGAAGCTTTATTACATCACCGAAAAAAGTGTTAACAGCATTTACCACACCATCACGACTCTGAGCAAAGTTTGCTTGTGCTACCCTTATGAAGGTGTTGTGGATGTTTTTAGTCTATCCGTGCCACCATCCTACCAATGTTTATTTGTGGTGAATGCTTCAGCTGCTATAGCCGTATCTTGTAGGCACTGTGTGACCCATAAAATATAATAATCGTAGTGAATTAACTTGTGCATTCAATGGTCCAAGCAGATGTTCTGAAAACGTCCAATAGCAAAACTCTTATATGTTGAGTATGATAAATCTTTACCCGGTTTAGAATAAAAGCTGATACCGCACGGTATCATCTCTCTGCGTACTGAGCTATTATACTCTGTTTTAGTAAAATGTTGTAAATGCGCAAATGTGTACAAACTAACGGCCACAAATTGAATAAGTCGACTTATTCCAATGAATTGTCCGTTGACAAAAAACTCACTTCTGAATTTGCAAAACAGTATATAACAGATACCCAGAATCCCTGCAAAAGACGAAATGTAGCGTAGTAAATATGGTATTATTGCAGAACCTAACCTGATAGCATTAATGATTTTAGCTTCGCCATTTTAAGAAAAACCGAACCCAGAATTGAAGGTGTAATTTTCTAACTCTAGGTAACTCAGTTACGTCGGCTTTTCATTTTTTGGGCGCATGCCCAGTTGCCGTTTTGTAATTTAACTACAGTGCCACGGAAAGCTTTATACACAAAAATGTTCACTTAGAAGCATTAGCGCGACAAGTACCCAAGTGGAAAAAGAAAGTGAACCAGTGCTCCGTGAACAGGAGCCGAGAAATATTGCAATTTAGTCACTAACTAAGCGTATAGCAGGATACACAGGCAGCATGAGCTTAAAAATAGTCTTGCAGTATACAGTCGTCATTTTGGACATACAGCTAGCGGGACGCTATGTTGTACGTACAGGTCCAGCCTCAATCCAAACCCATGTTAACTGCCATAACTGCATGTATACCAAGTGGAAAAAGCTTGAGCAAACACTGTACGCACAGGACTGCCTACTGGCACTACATGTGCAAACAGTATTTCGCCCAATTAACTGGAAAAAGCACCTGTTTCCCTAAGAACTACGCATCCATATCACCTATTAATGGTAGCAAGTTTACTAATGTCATCTATATGTGTTCTTATACAAAAGTATAAGCCATCGGCTAATTAATTACTGCATTGTCCTTGGAGTGGAATAAAACCCTCGAGAACCAGCCATAACATAGCTCAGTACAGCTCGCTTGCTCTTTCAGTCGCTTTGCTCAGGTAAAAAATCGTGTTATTGTCGTCCTGGTGTCAACCTGACAATAGAGTTTAAACGCTACTTACTATTCCATGTTCGCATCATTCAAGGTGGATCCTATGCTTAATCCTTCATTTTCGCTTTTATGTCACTAAATATGTTATGACACCATTTATCTTCTCGGCACAACAGTGACTCAAACACTTGGAATGACTTTCCCGCCGAAGTGTCGGTGTTAGTTAATGCACTCAATAAGATCACCAACATGAGTTAGATCGAGCACCTTAAACCCCATGGGGTACCACTACGATGTGAGAGCATTCCGAAACTGCAGAGTGGTGACCCGGAGGTTAAAGAACAAAATCGGAAAACCGCTTCTAGTCTACCGTGAATGGAAAGATGTGGATATAACAGTTCATAATAATATATGTTCAGTATAGCCTGCCCAATTTTTCTGCATCACCTGCCTAAGAGACTACAATGAGGTTCTTACAGAATAGGTTCGGGTGAACATCAAGAGAACGAAAACGGCTGAAAAAATAACTAACGTTCTACGGTCGGTCGTGAAAACTGGTTCAATCGTAGTCATATGGTCGTCTAGATGATGCTGAGCCTCAAAGAAATGCAAGAGTACATACACCTGTTTGGCCTAGTTAGCCTCGCCACGTAATGCTACAGGTGCTTTGCGAGCTGTTCTTATCGTAGTGATTAATGCTTAGAAGTTAGCTGAACTCAATCTTTGTATTTCCAAATTTCGGGGTTGAAACTGGAGTGATACCAAATCCAGCAAATTTCGTCAAGTCAACAATGCCCTTTATGCACCCATTAAGACTGAATAATTAGCCACACCACACACGACAATGATCCAGATAAAATTGATCAAAAGTATTACTAACGTATAGGGAGCGTCAGCAAGTTAAGAAAGTGTCAGTTATGAAATCATCGCCTGCTCTACCGCGTAAGATGAGGACGCTCCAAAAATGATGATACATCGCATACTTGCAGTGACAATGGCGATAATAACCACCGCTTCACTTTGCATACTGCAACTTGAATTCTCCATAGTTTTACCATACTATATCTTCAATCTTTCTGTTGTCAAATAGGCAGTTAAGCTATGGTAACGGCATATTAATATTTGTATTCGGAATGACTAATATTATTCACTCACTTGGGTGCCAATAAGCACTGCACTGATATACTCGAAGATCCAGTCAAATGTTCCAAAGTAACTGCGTAAGAATATTATTTGCGGATAGCCCAGTAAAGGCATTAGTACCAAAAGCGCTTTCAATGCCTTCCTGAAATATAAAGAATATATACATGGTAGCAATGTTTCCAGTTTGTGGATAAAGTATCCTAGGATATCTGCCATTTTATGTATGCCGCGAAGCAATTGTTGGGTATAAAAGTAACGCAGGTTATCTTAGTGAACCTCGAATTCTTCGAGTAACACTAAACTCAGCAGATGAGACAGAGGCTGTCCTGCTCTCAGCAGTTCGTCTTCGCAACCCACCGAGCGGAGTACGCATATTGCCTGATCTACCTTGGAAAGATCGCGCAAAAGAAGCAGTGGAGCAACACGGTATTGCTAATAGAGATAGCAAAAGAACCATATTTGTTCATGGAGTTCCAGAGCTTCTACATTCTTCTGATCACGATGCACAAACTCATGACCGAGAGCAGTGGTGCTACATCTGTGAAGCACTCTCTGTAGACAATGTTATTGCCAAATCCCTGACAAGAGTGCCGTCATCACCTAACTACAAGAGCTGCGGTCCAAGGCTAATTAAAGTAACACTACACTCCGAGGGAATGACGCAAGTTCTGTTAGATAGCTGGTTAAAGTTTCGATCTAGGCTGCCAACAGAGATCCGGCTAAAAGCAGCAGGTGTACGAGCAAAAGTCGGAAGCAATTCAACGGAACTTGAAAACGCAGCAAATTCCTTATCTGCACAGCCCTGCGGAGAGACCAACACAACTGCGCCCACGGCACACAGGAGGACCGAGCACAGCACGAGTGAACCATCAGTTCAGGAACGCTTAATAATGCCATACAACACGACTGAAATACATAAACCAAAAAGCGATTAATTGCCGGCCACCTAACGGCCGGCTTAAAAGCGAACACAAACTTGACATCTATCAATGAACTCCTAACAACAAAAGCCCTATCTTGCATGTATACAAACGCTCAAGGCCTTCTAAGCAAGCTGGCAGAACTTAGAGAACTCCATGCCTCACAACCGCGGGACCTCGTCATGATTACAGAGACATGGTTAAACCCTGAGATAACCGACTCTGAGATCAATTTACCCGGTATGTCACTGCTTCGGACCGATAGAACCGGAAGGGGAGGCGGTGTGATTCTTTATTACAATACAAACCTCCGATGTGAAGTTATCGACCACCCAGAAATCAGAGCACCCGATTCGCTTTGGTGCCGCTTATGGTTGCGAAACAAGGGCACATGTCTACTAGCCGTGATTTACCGCCCGCCAAACTCAACTTCGGAAATGGACTCCAAACTGAACCACGTTTTCCAGTTTGCTTTGAACAAGTCCTACACCCACATTCTTATCACTGGAGACTTTAACGTGCATGACATAGAAAAGCCGGCAACCGATGGTATGCAGTTTAAAGCCGGCTTGCAAGAGCTTATTGCTAGCCACCCTCTTTACAACCACGTAACCTCTCCCACTAGATTTCGAACTGCTAACAAGCCGTCGATACTGGATCTTGTGCTCACTAACGAAGAACTCATGGTTGACGGGATAGTTACAAGCACACCACTGGGTCGTAGTGATCATGTTACTCTACTCTTTGACTATATTTGCTATGCGGAGTACCCTGAAAAGGAGGAGGATAAAGTGCATACTGTCACACACTACAATGTGTTGTCTAAGCTTGTTAAGGATACATCTTAGACTTTCTTAACCGAATGCCCCCCAGATGTTGCCTGGGAAACATTTACAAGGACGTTTAGTACACTGGTAGCGCACGCATCAGAGGAGAAGTCCTTCCAACCTAAAAACAAACGTAATTCATTTCTGAGGAGCAGGACACGTAAATATATGTCCCGGAGGGATTTGGCATGGCGAGATCACCAGGACTGCCCGAATGCCGAAACGTGGACTGCATACGTGACACATCGTAACTTCTGTGTGAAACTGATCCGCGAGGACAAGGTCACTCATCAGCAGAAGTTAATGAAGCGCTTCTGTACGAACCGCAAACTCCTGTACAGGCACGTTAACGGCCTTCGAAAGGTAAAGCGAGGGATTCCAGCACTAGTCACGGCTGATGGGTGCACGCGATCAGCAATGGAAGCAGCTGATCTCCTACGGCTTCACTACTCCAAAACTTTCCAGGAGGTAAAGAGCACGAACATTCTCCTCATTCCTACTACTCCTTCATCTGGTTTAGAAAACATCACCTTCACTGCGGAAGCTGTGTTGAAGAAGTTGTTATCCTTGCGTATCCACAGTTCTCCCGGAGCTGACAATATCCGACCAAAGGCTCTACAGGCAGTAGCTAGTGATCTAGCAGCACCACTGGCTATTTTCTATCAGCGATGTCTAGAGAAGAACCGTATTCCACCAGTATGGAAGGAAGGGGTCATCACTCCTATTCATAAAGGACGTAGCCGCACTGATCCTGCCAACTACCGCCCAATAACACTACTTCCAGTACTATCCAAAGTGATGGAATCAATCATCGCAGACGCGCTGATGGAATACATGGAAAGCCACAATTTAATAGCCCCAGAGCAACATGGCTTTCGTCAAAAGCATTCGTGTAATACTAACCTATTAATTGCACGTAATAGCTGGACTGAAGCTGTTGATGATGGAGTAGGGGTCGATGTCATCTACTTGGACTTTTCAAAAGCATTTGATCGCTTAAACCATCGCATACTCCTTTACAAGCTTCGTAATTACGGCATTGGCGACCCAATCCTGAGTTGGATTGACAATTTTCTACAAGAACGACGGCTAGTGGTGAGAGTCCGAGAATCATTGTCTGATGCAATCGATGTGGCGTGCGGAGTACCACAAGGCTCGGTTCTTGGACCTCGTCTATTCTTGGTGTTCATTAACGATTTGGCGAGATCAATTACTTCCGATTTCCTATTTTTCGCTGACGATCTCAAGATATGGCGAAGGATCAGAGGGCCGGAAGACAATGAACGGCTCCAGTGCGATCTTAACACAGTGTCGAACTGGTCAGTTCAAAACGCCCTACCGTTCAATGTAGACAAATGTCGCGTCGTACAATTACGCCATTGTCATAACTACACCTATTCACTTGGGACCAACGGACTGCAGAATAGCTCCCAGGAACGTGACCTGGGTGTGATCGTACAGAGCGACCTCAACTGTTCAAAACAGGCTGAGGTAGCTGCGAAAAGAGGCAACCAGCATGTCGGCATGCTGCGAAGAGCATTCGGAAATTTGACCCATCAATCTTCCCAATGATGCACAATTCCTACATGCGCCCGCATGTTGAATACGCTATCCAAGCTTTGCAACCTTGGTTGAAGCGTGACCTAGAAGCGATAGAGGCACCGCAACGGAGAGCAACAAAGAATGTGCAGGGTCTGCGCTACCACTCTTATCACCGAAGGCTGAAGTTGTTGGGAATCTTCAGCGGGCGCTATCGAAGACTGCGCGGTGATCTCATATTAGCCTATCAAATATTGTGTGACCCCAATCACGTATGCAGCCATTTGCTGAAAAGTAGCCACAACACGCAGCTCAGGGGTAACTGTCTAAAGTTGAAGGAACAATACAGCCGTCTAGAGTGTCGACGGAATTACTTTTCCCTTCGGGTTTGCAAACCTTGGAACGCACTCCCAGACTTTGTTGGATCTTCTCCTACCTTGGATGTTTTCAAAAAACGATTAGATGTCGCTCTTAGCTCCCAACATTTTGTTACCTAAATTCCCCTACTGTGGATTACGCCAAGGATGCATTTCTACAGGCTTTATGTATCAAATGGACCTAAGTGAGCGACCATATTTTACTTTTCTCACTCTTTACCTCAATGATCACTGCACCCCAGTGTCTGCATGTTTCTGCCCGATAATTTATTTTAATTTTACACTGATGTTGCTTATCAAACTATTCATATCGGCAGACGTTCGATAGATGACCCAGACATATTTTGATTTTATCATATTCACCTCAACCATCCTACGGGACGTGTCAAGCACTTGCTTTTATCCCGTGATAAATCATTAGTAGGTATGGATTTTGCCATACACTGGTTGTCAAGGTGCATCTACCCTTGAAGGTGGAAAGTCTATGGCTCAAATCCCAGGAGACGCAAACAATTGCTATTATTCTCAGCTAAAACCATTTTCTTTACTTCACTTACACCATTAGTTAACCTGTGGATCACAGTTCCCAAATGTCGTACCGCTTAGACCAGTTGCTCCTGCATTAACTAAATTTCACCTGAGCGTGAAATAATCTCAGATGGACTGCTACTGAAGTCAAAACATACCGGTTCAACACTAGAAATAGTGCCGCTAAAGGAATAATAGTAAAGCAACACCTTTATACAAGCTGGAGCACATTCGAATCTGTTTCAAATCCATCAGAGATCCATTACCATATCCGCTACTCATAGTGTTCGCTAGGCGCTAGTTGTATCATAAGGAGTTACCTCATAATGTTCTGTTATCAGCACCATTAGTAGGTTGTGTTGACGTGTTCTTCCTTGTCGAATCAACTTATTCAATGACGAATATTCACATGTAATCCAAAGAAGATTTATTTTTCATATTAAATCTCCATCATCGTATGGTCAAGGTTGGAGATCAGAAACACATGGTCACAGTCAAACTGAAACCTGCCCCGATTGCTTTCCATGTTGTTTACTATGCGGCTTGGCTAGTAATTTGCCACTCAGTCTAAGCAGGTTGTTTATTTAGTGTTTGGGGCAGGTCAACTGAAGGCTTATCGCAACCAGACTCGAAAAACAAATGTTGAAAGTTATTCCGGTCGAAGATACTAGTAATAATAATTACCACAAAAGCATGCACTTAAGGTTTCCTCTTTAAAGGGATACTCCATTTTAGGTGCAACCATGCGACTGGTATGTGCAGAATAGGGTTAAATGGGTGGTGGATATATGTCGTTCATCAGACTGGGCCTAGGTCCTGGTCTGGAAATCATTTCTGTGCACGCGTCTTCTTGGTCTGCGGCGTAATGGTGACCAAGTAACAAATAAATACAATTACCAAAGTTCGTATATTTATCTCTAGTACCATTATAAATACCATTCATAAATACCA